CTCCATTCATCATCATCGCCTTCGTCTTTTTCTTCTTCTACTTTTGTCCATCACCTTCATCTCGTCGAGTTCAGAAGGCGGCGGCAGCGGCGTCGTAGAGGGAGGCGTAGAAGAAGCGGATGTAGAGGAGGAAGAGGAAGTGGATCGCGCCCACGCAGCCGGCCGTGATGGCGGCCTTGCTCTGGTTGCGCTGGCGCAGGTCGGCCCAGAAGACGCAGGCCAGCGTCGCGGCCGACATGCCGCCGGCGACGAGGAGCGCGACGGTGGAGAGGACGGGCGAGATGGGGTGGAGCAAGTAGTGGACGACGAGGCCGAGGCAGTACCCGCCCAGGCCGTAGCCCGACAGCGAGAGGGCTTCGAGCAGGGAGAGCGGCATGCCGCAGAGGTAGGCCGCGAAGCGCATCCCGAGCGAACCCATCACCCAGTACCTACGTGCAGATCGAGATTGTGAGGAGGGGCAGATGAGATAAAAGATGAATTGAAATTAATGAATGAATTGGGAAAGGAGGGCCAAGTGGAAGAAGGAGAGGGTTAGGGATGGGGACGCGTACGAAAAGCAGAGGCCGAAAGCTGAACCCATGAGGGTGCCCTCTTCCACTGTCTTGTGGCTGAGCTTCATCCCGAGAAGCAGGATGGCCACAAGTGTGAAGACCAACATGGTGGGGCCATAGAGATCGGGTGCGCCCGATGTGAGGAGCTCGCTGGACTGCCTTGGGACGAATGACAGTTTGATCCGCCGCAGGACCGTCGATAGCTCGACATCGAAGTAGGGCTTGATGAGTTCGAGGTTGGCGTAGAGGTTCATGTACCCCCCAGCCTGAGTCTGTGCCTGCTGGAACATACGACCAGCCACCTCGTACACGATCTTGTCCTGCAACCCTTCGAATGCATTGGGCTGTGCTGACGATGTCGAAGATGATGAAGCCCTGGCGCCTCTCGCCCCAGACCCTCGTTCGTGAAGCCCACTGTTTCCATCAATATCTATGGCCACATCGCCGCCAGCCGAGCCATCGAACCAGGCCTCCTCCTTCATCATTCTTCCAATCGTAAAAGGACAGATTTTGTGTACAAATTATAAATTGTAAATCTTGACAAAGAGAAAAAAAGCAATAAAACTAAATAAAATAAAATGAAATAAAATGAAACTCTTTGTATTTATTTTAAGTCGTGTGCTCATCCACAGGCACATCTGAAGATACTGCTCCGTCTTCAAGCTGCAACAATGGTTCGAACCTATGTTTTGCTTTTATGAATCAAATTTGTTCTGTTTTTTTTTTGTTTTGCGCATCTCCCAACTGCCCATCTCCCAAATTCACCCAAGATCATCCCATCGGCCCATTTTGTGTGCCCAAGGCTTACTTCTGCCAATTTCTTGTGGTGGGTTTGCACCGGGGGGGGGGGAAACAGGAGAGCAAGCCGTTGGCAAACAGTGGCGGGGGCAGCGGCGAGCTGCGCAACAAGGAGGTGCTGCAGAGCGTGAGCAAGCGGCTGGCCAACTGCGAGCACGTCGGCCTCCAGAAGAAGCGCATCCTCCGCGAGGACGAAATATTCGACCCCACCGACCCCAAGATACGCGAGGTGCACATCGTGTCGTGTCGTGTCGTGTCGTGTCGTTGGTCGTGCCGTGTCGTGTCGTGCCGTGTCGTGTGTCCCAGTGCTCTCACCACGCACCACTGTCGTCCATCGCGTCCAGGACATCATCAGCATGATCGTGCAGTATCTGCAGGACAGCGGGTACACGTCGTCGGCGATGACGACCCAGGACGAGGCCAACGTGAAGATCTACGAAGAGCTCGAGCAGCGCGTACAGCTCAAGGCCATGCGCAAGGCCATCCTCGGTATACCTCGTCTTTCTTCCGCCTCTTCTGATCATCATCATCATCTTCATCATCATCTTCTTCTTCATGATGTGCTCACACACACTTGGACAGAGGGGGATTGGAATGAGGTGGAGAAGCTGCTCACCAAGAACATGTTCAAAAACCAAAAGGCGTTCATGTACGCGGTCTACAAGCAACAGTATCTCGAGCTGCTGGAAAAGCAGGAGTACCAGCGAGTACCGACGACCACCTCTTCACACCCACCACCGCACACGCACACGCACACGCACACGCACACGCACACGCACCACCGCACACGCACCACCGCACACGCACCACCGCACACGCACACGCACCACCGCACACGCACCACCGCACACGCACCACCGCACGCACACGCACCACCGCACGCATTAATTTGCTCTCCGACGATGCGTGCGGCGACAGGCCTTTACACACTTGACCAAGCGACTGAAGCCGCTGGAGCGATACGCCGGCAGCCCCGAGGAGTTCAAGGACCTGTGCTTCCTGCTGACCTGCAAGAACATCCAGGACGCCCCCTCCTTCAAGAACTGGGACGGCGCCAAGGGCAACTCCAGGTGCGCTGCGCACTTCCCCCCTCCACCCGTGCAAGCCACGGCCTGGCTTTCTTCGTTCTTCTTCGTTCTTCTTCATGTGCAAGCTCGATTAACGCTCGGGCTGCTCGTTCTCAGGGAGCACGTGGTGGAGCAGTTCGAGGCCATGTTCCATTTGGAAATCCGCCGTTTGGGCCAGGTACGCGACTCGCCCGCACACAGTGCGCAGCACCACACACACCACACACACACCGACCACCCGTGCCACGATGAGGTGAGCTACTCAACGATGGCGACGACGACAACTACTACTAGGGAGGGCACACCGTGGATTTGCCACCCAACCGCATGCTGCACTTGCTACGCCAGGCCGTGGCCTATCAGATGGAGTTTACGCGCTACCACCCTAAGGTCGCGCCCAAGATCAACACGTACGTGCAACTCCCCCATTCTTGCACACTCCCGCACACACACACACCACCGCACGCACAACACCGCACACGGACACACGCACTACCGCACACGACGGCTGGCCTGACTCTTTTAATAATGCCGCATCGCAGGCTCTTGGAGGACTACAGCCCGTTCCTGCTGCCCAACGCGCTGAAGAACACCCTCACCGGCCACGCGGCCAATGTCAAGTGCGTCGAGTTCGTGGGCGAGGAGGGCTTGACCCTCGCCTCCGGCTCCAGGTTCGGTCCACCTCCACTTCTCATTTTTCTTATTTTTCTTATTTTTCTGTTATTATTATTATCCTTTGTTGTTATTTTTCTAAAAGAAAATGGGAGCAGTGATGGCACGATCAAAATCTGGGAGGCGGAGACGGGGTCATGTCTGCACACCCTCCACGGTCACACCTCCCGCGTGTGGGACGTCTCCTCGGCTCCCTCCGGCCTGTTCCTGGCCTCCGCGTCGGGTGACGCCACCGCCATGGTACCCTCTCCTGCCTTCGACACACACGACACACACGACACACACGACACACACACGACACACACACATACGCACACGCACACAATCGACGCTCGTGCTGTTATCAACGTTGTGTGCGTGCGCGCTGGCAGTTGTGGGATCTCGGTCGGCAAGCCGTGGTCAGCACCAAGACGTTTAAGGGTCACGAAGGAGACGTGTACACCGTTCACTTCCACCCGGGCGAGGTACGCGTGTCGTGTGTCGTGTGTCGTGTGTCGTGTGTCGTGTGTCGTGTGTCGCGTGTCGCGTGTCGCGTGTCGCGTGTCGTGTATTGACCGTTTCTCTTCGCGAAGAACCACATCGCGACGGGCGGCTACGACAGGGCGGTCAACCTGTGGGACGTGCGCACGGGCCAGCTGATGAAGAAGTTCAGCGGCCACAGCGCGTCGGTATCGCACGTCATCTTCAACCCCTACGGCAACCTCATCATCTCCGGCTCCAAGGACAACACCGTCAAGTTCTGGGACATCACCTCCGGCCTCTGCATCAAAACCTACAGCACCTACCTCGGGTCCGTGTTCCACTCGCGCCATGTGCGTGTCGTGTGCGTGTCGTGTTGTGTCGTGTGTCATGACGCTCACGTGGGCTTGGCAGAGAGGTGACGTCGGTCGCGATGAGCCACAACGGGTCGCTGCTGCTGACTTCGTCCAAGGACAACTCCAACCGCCTGTGGGACGTGCGCACGGTACCGCCGCTCTTCCACCACCACCACCGCACGCACACACGCGCTCGCTCGGCCGAGTTCCTCAGTTTCTTGACTACCGCGTGTCGGTTGGTTGGCGGCTGCAGGCGCGACCCATCAGGAGGTTCAAGGGCCACCAGAACACGTCCAAGAATTTCCTTCGCGCCTCCTTCGGCCCCAACGAGTCCCTCATCGTCGGCGCGTCTGAGGTGCGTTTTCTGTTCTTTTCGCCGGTGCACCTTCGCTCTCTGCTCACGCGCGTGTCGTGTCGTTGGTCGTGTCGTTGGTCGTGTCGTTGGTCGTGTCGTGTCGTTGGTCGTGTCGTGTCGTGTCGTGTCGTGCTGCAGGATGAGATGATCTACATATGGGACATCATGACAGGCGATCTCCTGCAGACGCTCAAGGGCCACACGGGCACTGTCTACACGACCACCTGGAATCCCCACCAGTCCCTCCTCGCCAGGTACCTCGTGAGCGATGATGCCGCCTGCAGGCGTTCCCTGCGTTCCGCTGACTTGTGTGCGTGTGTGTCTCTGTCTGTGTCTGGTACCACAGCTGTGGTGACGATGGAACGGTGAAGACGTGGTGGTACGACGAAAGCGTGTCACTCTTTGGCGAGGACTAGGGCCTCCCACCCCCTTCACTCACTCTCATGAAGCCTGCAGCTTGTTGGTGACGTGGCAACCAACGCCAGCCTTTTTACTCAGGCTATTTTATTATTTAAATAAATAAATAAATAAAATGAGAGTTTCATCAGAACTCAGGGGCAGGGCAGCCAATACTGCAATTGAAGCTGCCACAGTGGTCAAAGTAGAACTGGGGCGCCGCTGTTCCCTGGGCTTCCCACCAGGGTCCTGTCAGTGTCGTGTCGTGTGGTGTGGTGTGGTGTGGCGTGGTCAGCCAAAGAGAAACATCGCAGGAGGAGGAGGGGCATTGGCACGAACCAAACACAGCTGCCAGGGAGGTGTCCGTGTCATCGCTCAGGCGCAGGTTGGTCCAGTTGTTGTTATCCGTGCTGCAGTGGCTGAAGCACATGCCCCTGTTGGCGTGTGGTCACGTGATCAGCAATGAACGAAAGAATTGTGCTGACGTGGTGGGAGCGCGTACGAGAAGATGGTGTGCTGCTTCTTGGTCATGACGGCCAGCACCTCCACCGTGTTCAGCCTGCAGCCCCCCCCCAATGTCAGTGTAAACACAGAGACTTCAAGTATTGTTTGCAGTTGAGCTGCGCAGTACCGGTAGTTGTTGGCGTAGGTCTCCATGCTGCTGTTGTACTGCGCCGGCACGTAGCCGATGTTCCTGTAGATGGCGGTGGCCTCCGTCAACGTCATTATTGTCTACGACGAGAAGGCAGCGCACGCAAAGCCGCACACGCACACACACGCGCGCACAGAGCGGCAAAGAAGTGGAATGTACCAGTCGAGCTGCCAGGCGTCGTACTGCTGCTGGTTGACCAGCATAGGAGTGTCGATGAACGAGTACGCGTACTGGCCAAAATAGCACTTCTCCGGCTGTACAGCCACCACGACGACGCATTGCCGGTGTTACAACGACGAGTCATGTACCGCATGTGTGCGGTGTGTGCGGTGTGTGCATGTGCGAGGCGGAGGCGGCGGTATGGTGTGGCCCGCACCTGCTTGGGGTAGGCGGCCGTGCAGGAGCTGTCGAGTTGGCCGTTCCACAGGGGGAAGCCCTTGGTGAACTGTTCCAGAGCCGGAATGATGGTCGTGTCGAAGACGTGGTCCAACGGCAGGTGCTCCTGCACGTACACACACGATTGTTCGCGGCCATCAGCCACCATCACACACGCAGACGTGTCGTGTCGTGTCGTGTGTCTTGTGTGTGTGTGTCGTGTGTGTGTGCGTGCGTGCGCGCGCGCGCGCGCATGTGAGGTTGCTGGCGTACGGGATAGAGCGGATAGTCGAACATGATGCCCGCATCAGCCAGGCTGAGCACGCGCGTGGCATTGTTCTTGAGCAGGTCGCGCAGCGTCGCTTGCACAAAGTTGGCGTTCACTTTTGGTCGGCAAACACGTATGTGTGTCGTGCGTGTCGTGTGTGTCGTGTGCGTGTGTCGTGTGCGTGTGCGTGTCGTGTGTGGTGAGTAGGTGGTGGAGATGACGCGGCAGGTGCCGGGAGCAGGCAGGTTACCGACGACGCCGACACCGCCGGCCGAGCATCCGGAGAAGAGAATTTGGCGCTGATCGCTCGACTCGCGCAGGCCACGGTACTTGTACACGTCCTCGAGCACAGCCTGATCGTTCCCCACTCCACTTTAGCTTCTGTGAACAGTTTGCGCGCGCGTGTCGTGTCGTGTCGTGTCGTGTCGTGTCGTGTCGTGTCGTGTCGTGTCGTGTCGTGTCGCGTCGCGTCGCGTCGCGTCGCGTGTGCGTGTGTGTGCGGTCGTGTGTGCGTGCGTGTAAGCAAACCTTGACGATCTTCTTGCCCCGGAAGTGAAAGATGTTGGATTGGGTCTTTGACGCGTCGCCGCTCCACGCATCGCTCGAGCAATACCTGCACCGGCCGACGGGTCAAAAAGTCAAAGAGTCAGCCAAAGTCAAAGCTGTTGCGGCACTCTACTCTGCTGCAAAAGTAAGTCGACTTACAGGACGTAGACGTGGTTGACGTTGTGGAAGAGCGGGTTGGTGGTCTCGTTCTGGGCGAAGATGCCCACGGGACCGGACCACTGCTCCTTGTACCCGGCGAGGGAGATCAGGTACGGCGCCCGCTTCTGCCGCTCGGCGCACGACTCCGCGTCCCAGCACCAGAACCCTGGTGCGGCCATCGGTCGTTCGGACATAAAACGAAAGAAAGAAAGATAAGATCGGACATAAAACACACCAGACCGCAGTTGTGGCATGTACCGCCCATGAGGTGGAAGTGCCAGACCTGCTGGCCCGACCCCGACCCTGGCCGGAAGTAGTAGCCCGCGGCCGACCCATCGCTGCACACGGCGTCTGCGGTAGAAGAGCGTCATTGAGTCGGACCAATCACAAAATAGATTCTGATAAATGGGAAAAATAAAAATAAAATACAGTATATGGGGGGGGTACCGCGTGTGGTGGCCTCTTCGATCTTGAAGAGGGTGAAGTCGTTGCCCTCGGCCGCGACGAAACAACAACAAAGAACGAAAGCGAAGACCACCGCGCCCGACACGAAAGCCTGGCGGTTGAGCAACATCACCAACTGAGCAGCTTTGCCTTTTTGTTTCGGGGTTTTTGCTGACTGCAAACTCTTGCAGAGAGCTATCGGCGAGAAGGCCAGATCGAGCTTGTGACAAAACGCAGCACACAAGCATGTGGTTTAAACACATTTTTATTTACATGGGCGCGGACCACACAGCAGCGGCCGTGTTCGATTCACCGCTAGGCAAAGGGAATGATGGCGCCGTTCACATTGCGCACACGGCCGCAGGTGAGCGAACAGTACATTCCCACGAGCCGCACGTTCTCGCCGTATCTGAAGCGCGAGGTGTCACGTGTGTAGTGTGCGTGCGTGTGGTGCGTGTGCGGTCAGTGGGGAGGTGCTAGCTGTGTTGAGTGGGCGCCGGCGTACCTGGCGGTCCGTAGGGTGCGCGGGTAGGCGCGCACAATGGGTGCCTTCCCATAGAACACCTTCCCGCAGTGGGAGCAAGCCTTGCGTCCACGCCCTCCCGTCTTCTCGTCGTCTGCGCCCACTTCCGCATCGCCGTCGCCAACATCATCGCCGTCGTCGTGGGGTGGATTGCCGGTCGACGGGCTGGCGCCCACCAGGTAGTCCCTGATGTGCAGCGGCACCAGCGCCCCATAGTCCGGCGCAGCTATGAGAGAAACAAAGATATCAGCGATGGCGGGTGTGCGTGTGCGTGTGCGTGTGCGGTGGTGCGGGTCGTGTCGTGTCACGTGTCGTGTGGAAGCGCACTGGTGACGCTGTGGAAGAGAGGCTCGTTGGCGGCCAGGGCGTTACAACACAGCTCGAAGAGGGTGGACATGCGCGGGCGCTTGACCCGCACGACGGGATCGCCATCGCGCTGCCACGGATTGCACATCGCCTCAAGATTCAGGTCTAACGTGTGCGTGAGTGAGTGCGTGCGTGCGGCTTAGTGTGCGGCGGCCGAGGAGTGACACACGCACTGCAAATAGAGATGAGAGGGTGAATAACAGGTGCACTACGTACTGGGGTGTCTCTCCATGATGGAGGCCGGCAGCCAGGTGAGTTTGTTGTAGGAGATGTTCAAAAACTGCAGCGGAAGCTCGCCCAGCTCGTGCGGCAGTTCGGTGAGACTGTGCCACATCGCAGTCGCAGTCGCAGTCGCGCCACACGCAGGCAGCACCACAAGCAAAGGAGGTAAGAACAGAGCGAAGCAAAGAAGGAGGGTCGTCGGTGGGCGGTAACCTGTTGTTTGAGACGTCGAGATAGGCCAGCGTGGAGAGGTGGCGAATGGCCGGTGGGATGACGGTCAGCTCATTGCGCGGTATAAGCTGCGCTCCACACCACTGACTGTGGTAAGAGGTTGTGCCGTCATTGCGTCGTGTTATAACACGTAGCCGTACGAGAGTGTGGAGGCCCTTGATGCGAAAGAAAGAGGGGGGCAGAGCCGATATGCGGCGGTAAGCTCTGCAATCCAACCTGTTGTTGGTGGCCAGTGAGGTGGATGATTTTCTGGTGAAGCTGACTGATTTTGGAAAGATGGCGAGATGGCTCTGTACTTGCGGTCCCATGCGATGCGCTGCCGCACGGTGAGTTTGGAGATGCGTGCTATGCGCTGTTCCAAATCCTTTGTCTCTTCGGCCTTGCTGTTAGTGCCCAGCCGCACCACGCTCATCCAGGCTCGTTTACGCCTTTGTTTTATTCGCTTTTGTTTGTTAATCTGTCTTTTTCCCACCCTTTTTTCTCTGTCTGCCCCAGCTGAGGGTTCGCTCACCGCCTACAGCGAAGTCGGTTGGACTTGCAGATGGGCCGGTAGAGTCCCGTGGTGGGACACGCACGCACATGACACTCACCTTGTCACCATCTCACATCGAATCAGAGCTCAATATACCCTTCTCCGTTGAGAGTTTCTTGGAGAGCGAGCGACACGTCCAGTACCAGTCCCTGCCCCTGGCCTACCCCTCCTTGCACGGGGCGTGCTGCAACAGCCGGTGCCCCACCCACACCACCCAACAACCAACGTTGGCCAGGCCCCGGGCCATAAGATAACGCGTTATCTTTTTCTTTTTCTTTTTCTTTTCTTTTTTCCCGTGGTTGCCCAAAGTTGCACCTGACGGAGCACCGCCTCGCTGCAGTCTCGATCCTCGGGCCGAGATGGACAAAACGCAGGTCTGGACCTGGTCGCCAAGGCTGTTTTCCCCACCCATTTCTGGTAACTCCCACCCACCAACAAACACAACTATTGAAGTATATTATGGCAGTGCGAGATCTTTTAGCATCCAAGTAATAAATAATAAAATAAATAATTAAATAATTAAAGGCATTTACAAGGACTTTTATCGCTGGAGCAGAGTATCTTGCCGATGCAAGCATCGCTGCCGTCTACTCCGGGTTTGCTGCCCAGCACAACGTCGCTGTGTCAGGTACGCCCGCATCGCGCCTTGGTCTTCTCCTGGCGCTGCGTCCATTGCGTGTCGTGCAATCGTAGGAGCGCACCTCAGCCAACAGAGCGCCCGTCTCCCGCGCCTGCAGACGTATCGGACATCTACGTGTGGGGCAGCGGCCAGGTTGGGCAGCTGGGGCTCGACCCAGAATCAGAGTTCGAGCTCGAGGACCAATACGTGGTATAGGCCACCGCCCACCACTCAGCCATTCGCAGCAGCGCAGCTACTGCGCGCCAGGCGCTGACGGCCGACACCACTAGTGAAACCGCTCACCTCTTCCCCGAATCGCCACGCAGTCGCATCCGCAGCGCTTACGGCACGAAGCGCTGCTGCACAAGCGCGTCCTCCAGGTCTGCTGCGGCCGCGACTGGACCGCTTGTCTCACAGGTTCGCGTGCGCGTGCAGTGGTGCGGTGCGGTGGTGTGTTGACAAACATTTGTCGTTTGTTTGGCAGACGCTGGGTTGTACACATGGGGCAGCAACGCCTACAATCAGTTGGGCCACCACCACCAGCGCGAGCTGTTTACACTGATGCGCGAACTCAAGCAATCCTACCCGAGCAGCCCCGATGCGAAGTGGGGCTATTGGCGAGTGGACGAGCCTGTTGAATCCGAACACGAAAGCGAAAGCGAAGGCCAAGCAGCGGAGAGATCGCCCGTCGAGCGCTCGCAAGGCCTCGAGAAGTCGCGGGAGCTCACCGGGTGCAGGCTGGCGTCTTCGACGACCTGGCTCTGCGCCACGCCCAAACTAGTTGGAGGCCCGCTTCTCAACAAGACCATCGTTCACGTCGCCTGCGGTGCGCAGCACATGGCCTGCGTTACCGGTACACTGGCTCTTCCTTTTTCTCACTTTACTACCACCACTATTATCATTATTTCAATTTTTATTTTTGTGGCATCGGCTGACAATCACCTCTTACACCACAGACGAGGGAGACGTCTTCACATGGGGCTATGGAGGTACTTCTACTGAAACAAAACAAACACCTTCAACGCTCAGGGTGTTGTGTGGTGTGGCGAATCATAACCGAATGTTATTGCATACTTTCGGCGACAGGTCGAGGAGCGCTTGGCCATCCCAACATCAGGATCACCGGGGAGCCCATGCTAGTCGAGTACTTTCGTAGTCCTGGCGGGGACGCGGCGACGCGAATCTTCATTAAGTCCGTCGCCTGCGGTGGTACGGCTCCACCTCCCTACACGTTTCGCTTCAGCATCTTTGAGGGCCGTAGGGTCTTACGCGCGCGTGTGCACAGAGTCGTTTACGATCGCCGTGGCAGCCAATGGGCATGCCTACGGATGGGGCGAACACGCCTTTGGCCAGCTTGGTGCGCACTTCTCATTTGCTCAAGCTCTCTACGAGGAGCAACACGAGTGTTGCAAGATGTTGAAAACACGTTTCTGTGTGCTGTGTGCTGTGCGTCGTGTGTTGTGTGCGTCGTGTGCGTCGTGTGCACAGGATTGGGACCAATCCCAGAGACGCCGATGCAACACTCGGCCTTCTACCCATGTCCGACCCTCATCAGCAGTCTAGCTGAGGCCAACCAAGTCGTCGTTTCCGTCGCCTGCGGCGCAAGCCACACCTTGTTCCTCACCGACGTGGTACGCATTCTCACGCCCTGCGAGGCTGAAATTTCGTCACTATCAACATTCTGATAAATGACTGAATGAATGAATGAATGAATGGAATGCGCACCGACTTGTACTACAGGGGCATGTGTACTCCTGTGGAAGCAACGTGCTCGGGCAGCTGGGCAACGGAACCGACCACTCGCTACCTGTCTGCATTGAGAGCCTCAAATCGACAAAGGTGACCTCGATCTCCTGCGGCGAGCTGTTCAGCGCGGCCGTGACCGGTGCGTGCACTCGACTCTCGCTCTGCTTCGTTTTCTGTCCATTCGCGCTCACCAACGCGCGCGCGTTGGGCCGCAGATCGCGGAGAGCTGTGGATGTGGGGAGCCGGCAGCGGCCAGTTCGGCTGTAAGGAGGGACGGCACGCCGAGTACCCTGGTCAGGTGGGGTTTGTAGGCAACGTGAGGCAAGTCGCGTGTCGCAGCAGATCTGTTATGACGCTCTTGGGTACGCGTTGTAATGATTTATTACTATTACTATTATTATTCGTTGCAGGCTTTCATTCTTTTCCTACAGTCCTTCTACTGACTCTTGTGCACAACTTTGGTTTGGTGAATTGCAGGCCCGCCGCGAGAAGCTTCGAGACCGGACTACCAAAAGATGCTCTTTGCTCGGGACTTTAGGTACGCCCCCTTCGAGGCACGAACCGATCCCCAGCTGCTTAACAGCTGATGGATTGGCACACGACACACCACACACACACACGACACACGGACACACAGACACGACACACACACACGCACACACACACACACACACACGACACACACACACGACACACACACACACAGCGATATCACTTTCCGGCTAGATAATCAAGCAGAAATTCCGGCCCACAAGGCCATTCTCGCCGCCCGCTGCCCAGCTTTGCTGTCACTCGTACCCGCTCCTTCCAATCACTGATCCGTCGCCCACTGCACGGCTCCTGCTGACTCCCGCATTTATTTTATTTTATTTTTAAGGGCGCGGAAGACGGGGGCGGTGCAGTCTTGCTGCCCGACGTCAACGAAGCGGTCTTCCGTAAGCTGCTGGAGTTCATCTACACGGGCGACGTACGCCGCTGTCTCTTTTGGCGTTGGTCTTATGATCCCTCTAACCGCGATATGGCGCGCGTTGGCCCGCAAAACAGTTTGCCTTGCTCGCTTCGGCGGGTTTGAACGACGAGCTGTACCGACTGGCGCTCGAGCTCAACTTCACGGGTCTGGTGCGCAAGTGCGCTATGCTCCTCGGGGTACAGACCACAGCTGCGCCCTGTGTGGAACAACCACGTCACCACTCTTACCCGGGTCTTGCTTGGGGGCACTCCAGCGGCCTGTGCCCGACGCGCATCAGGCGGCCGGCGGCAGCGCGGTCCGCCACATCGATGATCTCAGGGAGGACCTCCTGCGCCTTCTCCGCGAGCCGCAGTTCAGTGACTGCACGCTACGGGTCGAACAGCAGCCAGGCCTCGAGGTACGCACCAAGCACCGAGACTCGTCGGTTGTCGGGTGGTAGGAATTAGATATTGATCATCGCCCCCGGGGTGGTCAGGCAAAGACCTTTGAATGCCATCGCGCCGTGTTGAGCGCTCGCTGCCCGTTCTTTGAGGCCATGCTGTCGGCCGACCGGGGCTACAAGGAAAGCCAGCAGGCGGTCATCTCGCTGTCGATGCCCTTTGACAACGACGACGTAGACGCTGGTATCGCCGCCCACCGCAGCTTATAACTGCCCACTCGCTTGACAATTTCTCACCCTGTCGCGACCGCACGCGCAGGCAGCACCGTGGCCGAGCTTTTGAAGTGGATCTACGCCGAGCGCTTCGATCCGGCCCCGGACACGAGTCAGGCGCTACTGGTGCTCGCTGACGAGTATCGGCTCCCTCTGCTCGCCCAAATGTGTGAGACGCTGATCCAAGAAGGTACCGTTTTACGACTCGTGAAGAGTGATGAGTTTGAATCGGAGCATTAACGGAAACGTGGGTGGGGGCGACACACCGATGAGCGCAGGCGTGGACGAGACCAACGTGTGCGACGTGCTTCAGTTTGCCGAAACGTTCCGGGCCAACAAGCTGCGAAGCTATTGCATCGACTACATGGCGGCGCCGACCTTCCCCTCGCATTTGATCGACGCCGCGCAGCTTAAGCCCGAACTGCTCGAGCAGGTACTTCTACTTCCGTCTGAACCTGTGATACGACGCGTATGACCAACGACACACACACACACACACAATTATAGATCCAACTGCGCAAGGGCTCGTGGTCGGAGCACTCGCGCTCGCGCAGAAAGGTAAAGGAGCGAGAGGCCCGGTACCAACAGTACGAAGAAGAGCGGCAGACACAGGGTACGTACCACCGGCCCACTGCCCCCCCTTGCGTGCTTAGGGTTGACCTTTGTTCGCAGTGCAGCGATGGGCCGCGAGAGACTCGCCACTCTTCGCGCTGGGCCAGGCCCTGCGCGAGTCCCTCGAGCGCTTCGACCAGGCCGTCGCGCAGGCCGATCCCGCCGCGAAGGCGCCGTGCTGGCCGCGCTGGATGTGGCGGATGAGTCGCCAGGAGCGCCGCGAGCGGCTCGAGCGCCTGCACGCGGAGCGGAAGCAGCGTAAGGAGGCCAAGCGGCTGCGGCGGCTCGAGGAGCAGGAGCAGGCCGCCGCTGCCCAGCGCGAGAGGGACGAAGCGCAGCGCCGGAAGCGGGAGCGGATGAACCGGGTCTTCATACGCGCCGACCCGGCTGCGTCGACAAGCCAGGAGCGACCAGCCGCGGGCCTGTCAGAGCTTGTGGAAGATGATCGCCAAGAGGAGACCAAAAGCGCGGCGGCGTACGAGGGAAAAACCGAAAAGCTGGACAAGGGCAAAGAAAAAGCTGTCGACAGCGACAACGAGGAGGAGATTGACGACTTCGAGGCTCCTCTGGATCTGGAGCAGCAGCAGGGGAGAGAAGAAGAAGCGCCGAATTACGACAAGGCGACGTTGACGCTCATGGACACCACCCAGCAGGCCACGGTAAGTGTAAATCTTTCACTCTTCACTCATACGGCTATGGGTCAGTTTGTTTGCAAGCAGCAGCTGAGCGGTGAAGATATCGCGTGCGCAGGACGTGAGTCGAGAGGTCGCTTTCCTTCGCGCGACGCTGACAGCCATACAGGCCGAGTTCGGTCAGATCTCGCCCAAGGTGCGCAACAACTTTATTATTAAAGTTCATTTGATGTTATTCTTTATTATCCATTTCTTTATAATCGAAATAATTATTGAATAATTGATTTATTTCTAATTTTAAATAATATCTTTGTTGTAAAATGTGTGCAGGGGGCGCTGCAGCTTGAGGTCAGGGCGCTGCGGCGCGAGTTCAACTCAATCGAGGAAGAAGCTCGGTCCCTCGCTCCCCAAGTGTCAGTGGCGCTAGACTCAAGTGTACGCTTGCCCTCGAGCGTGTCAATGTCAGTGCTGGTGACCACAGCGTTTGTCGAACTCATCATCTGGTCGGCACACCACCAGGCCTTATCGCAGGAAGTGGTCGCCCTCAGGGCTGAGCTCGATGCCATCGAACGCGAGGCGGAACAGCTGGTGCTGGAGCGCGCCTCGCAATCGTTGCCGCCCAGCCTGCTGGTGCTCCCGAAGGAGGTGCGCGCTATCAGGGCTGAGTTCGACGCCATCGAGCGAGAGGCGCAGAGTCTCGCGGCAGAGTGTCGTGCACATTCGATCGTGGATCCGCTACTGCCGAAGGAGGTGAGCGCCATCAGGGCCGAGTTCGATGCCATCAAGCGCCAAGCGCAACAGCTGGCCGCCTGGGTACGCACTGCGTTCAAAAGAGATACTTATCTATTTGTAAAAACGTAGAGACTCAGGAGTGTCGCCGTGCTTGCTTAGAGGGAGGCCGCGGTCAAGGAAGTGAGCGCGCTGCGGGACGAGTTCGCGGCCATCGAACTCGCCGCCCAAGCGCTACAAATCACTCTCGTACGAATTATTATTATTACTACTTATTATTAATTACTATTATTATTTCCCTAATTGTTTTGTTAGAATCTACTTTTACCTTTGTTGTACGGATGTTTCCTAATCTAGTGATCGCAGAGAGAAGCTGATGCCCACGAGGAGGTGGTGAAGCGAGAAGAAGTGACAGTGCGTTCAGAGGAGGAAGAGAGAGGCTACGAGAGCGAGGAGGAAGAAGAGGTCAAACAGAACGAGGAGGAAGAAGAGGAAGAGATGAAAGTTCGAGGCATGCGCGACAGCGCTGAATCGCCTGACGGCAGAGAGGACAAGCACACAACGGACGAAGAAAAAGAAAAGGACAGAAAGATGGAGGACGGAGAAGATGACGACAACGAAGAACTGAACAGAGCCATCCGACTCGTGGAGCAGGTACACTTTTCATCCCTTCATCCTTATTTTATTAATTAAGATTTGATCTGATTTGATTTGATTTGATTTGATTTGATTGGAGATCTGAGATTAGTATTTTATTTGAATGTGTTTGTATCTATTAATTATTGCGACTATAATTCTGCGGGCAGGCCTTTGCGTTGGAGAGAGAAGATCCCGCCAAGGCCGATCATCTCTTCACCCAGAGTTCGATTGGGTTCCTTCAGGCCATGCGAAGTATGCACGCCCATCCTCACTTTGTGCGGTGGTGCGTGTGCGATGATGCGTGTGCGTGTGTGCGTGTGCGGTGGAGCAGAGGCACTAACTCCAGTCAACCGCACACGACACACAAAGTCGCGGATGCACAGGGCAAGAGCGACGTGCGACGTATCGTGGACGGGTACATTGCGCGCATTGACGCGCGCAACCTGCGAAGGAGCGCACAAATGATCAAGCGAAAGGAGTCGGAATCGCTCCACTCGGCCCCCGAGGAGGAGTTCATGGCGACGTCGGGGATGGAGCTGGAGAGCTGCGACTACGGCCAGCTGGTGGCCGACAGCTCCGAAGAGGTGGCGACCGTGTCCAGCCTCGAGGAAGTGGTGCCGCAGGATAGCTATCTCACCGCAGTGCTCAGCGACGAGCTCCCGCGGCGGGCCACCAACAACACACCACTGCGCAGCCCAGTCGTGGACGCTGCGGCGGTCGCAACGTCGGCCGCCCCGTCGACGGCCGACACCACCGGCGAGAGCGAGTCCGAGGTGAGCGCGGAGCTGCTTGCGAGCGCCGAGATGGAGCCGGAAGACGGTGCCTACATGCAGGCGGTGGTCGAGGAGGAGGAGGAAGCGGACACTCCGCAAAGAAGCAGGGCGTCGACGGTCGAGCTGCGGAGAGACGCGGCCGAGGCGGCGGCAGAGGTGCTGAACACGATCACCGCAGGCGGCAGCCAAGCCCAGACGACTGGGGTGTCCGCGGCGGCGCGCTGGAAGCCGGCGGACAACAACGGCGCGCGGAAGCACGACGCGCTGGCGAACACGCGAGTGACGGCGCCGGCTCTACGTGACATCAACAGGCGCTCGGAGGGTATCGTGTTCGTGGTGCCGACGTCAACACAGTCGTCGTCGTCGTCTGCCTCGACTGCGCCTTCACCTTCACCTTCGTCATCGTCATCATCCCCAACGTCAACGTCAACAACGCCGTCGCCGTCGACAGCACGCGTCATCTTCTCGTCGAACAGGGTGCCCACGACTGCAGCTACTCGGCTCGAGCCGGCTGCTCGACCCAAGCGACCGGCGTCGACATCCTTCGTGTCGGGCCGCGTCAGCTCCTCTCTCGCCTCACGCCTGGCGCTGTTCGAATCGCCCAGTTCGTCGTCGACATCACCGCCGCAGCAGCCCAACTCCACCACACAGACCACGCCGCAGTTGGGTCCCTCTTCCCCGGTCGCCGTGCGGGCCACATCTTTCGGGCAGACCCGGCCCGCGGCACTGTCGACCCCGCAGCCGCCGGGTGCGCTGGGCTTGCGGCGGCGGTCGTCCATCACGACCTTCCAATCGCCGGCCACCGCAACGGTGGCGCAAGACGCCATCGAGCGATACCAGCAGCAGCAGCAACAGAGCGCCGAGGTCACGAGTGGTCAGCGCCCTGCCGCCACCGCAGCCGCCAGCAACGGCCACGAGACGCGGACGCTAAGCTATGTCGACCTCAAGGACAACCGGTCCAGCTTGCCGGACTGGGTCGATCAGGCGCAATTGGAGGTACTGCTATGGCGTCTTGATTGTGCCTCGTGCGTGTCGTCCGCTGACTGATAACCCGTTCGGTGTGCCAGGTGTATCTGTCGGATGAGGATTTCGGAGTCGTGTTCCAGATGTCGCGACAAGAGTTCAACGCCCTCAAGTCGTGGCGCAGGAACCAGTTCAAGAAGGCCGCCGGCCTCTTTTGATTCACGCCTCCTTCTTTTCCCACAGCAAAGAATAACGTTTGCCTTCCACACCGAGCTTCTCTTCTTGCTTGAGAGGACGCCAACCAATGGGCGTACTGGTACTACATACAAAATTGACAATTTTACGAAGGTGCACCTTCACCACACGTCCGTTGCCCAACCAGCCACACCAGAACAACACGACACCACACCCAAATTGCAGACGCTCCCTCACTTCCACAACACCACCTAACCCCAGCAAGCTTCATGTACTTCCCCTTCTCTTTGGACCCTCACCTCTTGGCAGGGATGTTGATGGTGATGCTCACAACCCTCCGCAAAGACAGCACAAGAAGAAACCAACATGGCCGCGCCGAAGCCGAGGTGGGGAGGAGCGCCGAGCGACTTCTGCAAGGGATGTGCCAAGAGGGTCTACCCCGCTGAGAAGCTGCAGAGTACTTCGCCCTCTACCTTTCATCTTTCAATATCGCACCAGCCTGACCCTAACCCGCTGCTGCGTACGCAGTGGAGGGTCAGATTTGGCATGGCGACTGCCTGCGATGCAAGGAGTGCAACAAGAAGATCACCGGCGCCAACTGGGGCGGCTTCGTCCCGCCGGACAACACCGCCTACTGCCGCGTGTACGTCAGCCACTTGCCCCCCCCCTCCCTATGTGTGTATTAATGTGGGGAGCTGGCGCGGTGCAGGCACTACGACCGCATGGTCGCCGCCAAGGGCAACTCGGTGTCCTTCAGCTCCAGCGTCGTCAAGCACCCGAGTGGCATCTCCAAGACCTAATGCGGGTCCTTCATCTTGTACATCCTTTCGTCTCGCCCCCAGCAGGCAACCCAGTAAATATAAATATTTGTGGAATTTGGAAATTGTTTGCATTTTTATTTCAAAGTACGCTACATTCAGAAAAGGCGCGAAAGGGCCGACACAAAGGCACCGAAAACTCACGAGGAAACTTGCGCTGTTGCCAGTTTGGCTTTGGGACCAACTACGCCAAGAAGAAGAGGGTCGTGTTCACTGCCCTCGTTCTCTCACAAAGCAAACTCGATCGACAAAGAAGCAGCACCGTACAAACAACCACATGGGGCAATTGCTGGCGACTTTGGAAGGACACCACACGGAGACGAGCGCCGCTGCGGTGTCGGATTTGCCAGTCGGGTACAAGAGCGTTGCGCCAGCCACAACGACCACAATGGTGATGATACCATCTCTACCCGTGCTGGCTGCAGTCACCCCGGTCGATTGCAGCCTGCACCCAGGCCAGCCGTGCGTCAAAAGTACTCCTCCCCTCCTCCTGTGCCGAGCCTCGCGCGCCCTTTGTGGTTTGACCAGGAAAGCGTGTAGTGTGGAAATGTAAGATGAAGCGCAAGGGCGCCAGAAGGGTCAAGGGCGTGCTACACGCCTTTCCCACGTCCGTCTGCTTCCACCCGCGTGGCTCCTCCGCCTCTTCAATCGTACGACGTTACCTCCCCCCGGGGGGCTCTACACTCCAACTAACGTACAGTGGCCACTTCAGACTCACATAGACCTGGCCGGCGTCGATGACGTCGGCATCACGACGAGGCACACCAAGTACTGCGTGTTCCTGCTCACGTCGATGGGCCGGACCTTCTTCCGGGGAATGTCGTCGGCCGACGTGGAGGACTGCCACCTGGTGCTCTCCACCCTGTGGGCCGGCCTGCGCGGCCACCTGCCTGCTGCGACGCTGGCGCGGGCCGCGCCGCAGCCAGCCCCGACCTATCAACGGACGCCATCGGACGATCTCAACAAGCTGCAGGAGGTGGGCCGGCTGGAGCGCGAGTACGGGATGCGAGCCCACCCGGAGCTGCCCGAGGCCATGGCCGCCATCTTTCTCCGGGCCAAGCAGACCACTGACCTTCTCCGCGCCTACGGCCTCTCGCCCAAGTAAGCAGCAAACAGCTCTTGTGCCTCTGGGCAATCATCAGTAGACTGACTGTAGTGTGGTTGTGTGTCGTGCATGCGTCGTCGTGGCAGTGTGCCAGCAACGGTTAACAAGACGGACACTATGCTTCCGGTGAGCATGAGCTCGTTCTGGCAAGCGTTCACGTCGCAGCGATGGCAAGACTGGCCCAACGTCTTCATGCCGATCGGTCACTGGCGTACGCCCACCACCCACCTTCCGCGCGTCGGACCTGAACATAACGGGTGATGCGCTGCGCGCATCGTTCTGAATACAGGAGCAAAGGTGGGCGAGTGGCGGGTCGACAGCGTGGGCCTCTCTCGTCAAGTCGCCTTCACCTCCAAACCACCCAGGTGCCCAACGTTGCCGCAAGGACCATTATGGTGTGTGCTCACCCTTGGTCGCCGTGCGCAGGAAGGGCGTGATAGAGGAGGCCCTGACTGAGACCATCTCCACCATGCAGCTGGCCTGCCTAGTGGTCAACAGGTACACCTCGCCTCCAGCACTGCGCATACACATGCACTCACGTCCGTCGCAGGAAGAGCCTGGAGACCCGAATCCACATCGCCGTGGTGAGTACCTACAACGGTAGCGTAAACCCCTGGAACGGAGTTGGTCGCAACTGAAGGTGGTGATTAAGTGGCTGGTGGGTGATTGGGTGCAGGGCTCGAGTACCCCAAGGCCAAGGAGTGGTTTGAGCTGGTGGACATCAGTCGCGACAAGGGCTTCCCGCTCCTCCAGGTGCTTGACTACAGATGGCACGAGGACGCACCCACACCACTCCACTCCGCCTCCTCCTCCTGATCTCACAGAAGGTTGCGTTGAGCACAATCCCTGGGCACAGAAAATCCTTGATCACACCTTTGACTGTGAGTGCTGGTCTTCTATCCTTACAATGGTAGCCACAACAAGAGGCTCGTCCACAGTAGTCCCACTGTGGTGCGCAAGGTTGGCGCCAGGCCTGTAGCCCCCACATTGACCCGTCGTCACCTCCAACACTCCCACTACGCCAACCTCACCAAGATTGGCCACAAGAAGTTCACAGAGTCCACCTGATCTGCTCCGCTACCTTCGCCCCACGCTCCTTGCCGGTCCTTCACACTTGGCAAGTAAGGACAGTGAGTGGCTCTCTCGTGAGGTATGGCCACGGCCTGGACTACTTTGTACAGATTTGTGCTCACTCTCTTTATGGAATGAAGAAGATGAGGGCAAGAAGATTCGATCTGCGATGGTGGCACGTGGTGTGAATCTACTGGCCCATCTGCAAGCTAATGGTCACGGTGCTAGGGGGGCAGCATGTGTTCTGGCACGGCGTGGCAGTCCCTGACCTGGCGCCTCGCTCCCTGCGCCACCTGCTCCATTGGAGCTACACCGACGCCCTGCACCCGACCTGTCGGCCCCATCGACGACCCAGCAGGCCCACTTCAGTTCGAACGCTACCTGGTCCACCTCTACGCCGCGCCCGATCGCTACATGCTCGAGCCCTGCATGCAGCTCGCAGAGGCCGATCTGAGAAACCTGAACAGGTAGGTACAAGTCCGACGGCGCAGGGGTCTTTAGCACGTTCGACCTGGCGTCTGGCCTCGCGCCCGAGCTGGCCAAGAGCGTCTGCCTGCCTCACATCTGCCGGGGGGCCACCTCGCACTTAGGCAAGTTGTTGTCCCGCCAACAGACTGAATGGCTCAACATGTCGCCCACCGCAGCGGAGGTGATGGGGCCGACCTCGAGGGCATCGCGGAAAAGGAACTGTTCCTTTGTGTCGAGTGGCTCTACAAGCACCACCGCGACCTAACCCTAAGGTCGAAGTCAGCAGCACGCGAGAAGGTGACGGACCTGCTTCGTCGCATCTGATCGGCGACCCAGACCGGGCACCAAATCCAGGCCATCCCGGAACGGGATCGCGACCGTGCCTGGCACCGTTTCCCACTCGATCAGCCTCTCTGCAGCTGCAGTTGCCCGCCTGACAATCCTCGTTCGCCGCCCGGTGGGGGCCTTGGGTGAAGAAGACTATATCTGGCGTTTCGCCCACATCAACTACAGCTTTTCTTCACCCAACACAGGCCCGTGATGTGGCACACTCTGGAGCAGCGCGCTTCTTGCTCTGTTTGGCGCACGTCGAGAGAAACGAGGGCGTCAGGTGCATGATAGTGTTCGAGACACGCACATTTAGCCACTTTAAGTACTTTTTCTGGAGCTGTCAGCACAACCCTCCCGTTCAAATCTGCCAGGCGACGATGGGCTCGGAGACGAGGGAGCCTTGGCGTGCGAGCTGGAGCAGGGCCGCGTCGGCGATGACCAGGGCTGCCATGGCCTCGACGATAGCGATGGCCCGCGGCACCACGCACGGGTCGTGTCTCCCCTGGGCCTCCAGCACCGCCTCGCCGCCGCCGTACTCGCTCGTCTTCTGCGCCTGGCTAATCGTGGCCGGCGGCTTGAACGCCACCTACACATTCCACATTCCATCAGCACACGACACGACACACACACGACACACACAACAGGGCAGGACCTTGAAGACGACGTGTTCGCCGTTGGTGATTCCGCCCTGGATGCCGCCGCTGTGGTTGGTAGTGGTACCGAGCCGCTTCTTGCCGTCGGCCCCGGTCTTGACCACGAAGGGGTCGTTGTGCTTGCTGCCCCGCATCCGCGTGCCCGCGAAGCCGCTGCCGATCTCGAACCCCTTCGTGGCCGGGATGGAGAGCATGGCGTGGGCGAGCATGGCCTCGAGCTTGTCGAAGCAGGGCTCGCCCAGGCCCGTCGGTACGTTACGGCACACGCACGTCACCACGCCGCCGATGCTGTCCTTGTCAGCCTTTGCCGCCTCAATGATCTATGGTACGTGTCGTGGTGTCGTGGTGTCGTGTGTCGTGGTGTCGTGTGTGTCGTGTGTGTCGTGTGTGTCGTGTGTGAGACCAGGCCGATGAATCGTTGGGCGTTGTGGTGGTGGGGGAACCTCAATCATCTTGGCCGTGGCGGCCTCGTCGGGGCAGCGAACGAGCGACTTGTCGACGTCCTCGCGCGAAATGGTGTCCAGGTCGAGCTCCCTCTCGATCTCCTGGTCGCCGATCGAGCTCACCCACGCCACGATCTCAACACCGTACTGTGCACGCGGCCAATCGTCATCAGCACACCACACACACGGCACACGGCACACGCGCACACGCGCACACGACCAATGACACGACACGCGCGAGCCTGGGTACCTTGAGCTTGAGCCACTTCTCAGCGACGGCGCCGGCGCCGACTCGGCCGATGGTCTCTCGCGCGGAGGAGCGGCCGCCGCCCGAGGAGGACTTGATGTTGTACTTGGCCGCGTAGGTGTAGTCGGCGTGCGAGGGCCGCGGGATCTTGGACATGTCCGAGTAGTCGACGGGCCGCTGGTCCTGGTTGGCCACGAAGAGGCTGATCGGCGAGCCCAGCGTGTACCCGTTCTCCGTGCCAGCCTGGATCTTCACCTGGTCCGCCTCATTCCTCTGATCAGACACGACACACACGGCACACGGCACACGGCACACGGCACACGGCACACGGCACACGGCACACGGCACACGGCACACGGCACACGGCACACGGCACACGACCGCACATGACACGGTCAGCGCAAGAAAGAAGGGAGGGAGGAGAGCGAAGGGGCGAACGGGGGTGGTGAGGGAGCTCTGGCCGGGGCGGCGACGGCTGAGCTGCGGCTGGATGTCGGCTTCGGTGAGGGGCAGGCAGGGCGGCACTCCATCTGCAAAGGAAGAGAAGAAGAGTAGAGATGGAGCGCTGTGAGCAGGTATTCCACGGAACGCACACAAGATGAAACAAAGTAGATGGATGGATGGATGGACGAGCGAGATCGAGTGTGCAATCTGCCCGATTGAGCAGATAAAAAACTGATTGTTGTATCTCGCAGCACGCACCGATAATGCATCCCACTCCGCCGCCGTGCGATTCACCGAAGGTGGTCACTCGAAACGCTCTGCCAAAGCTGCTCATCTCTTCTCTTCAGTGTTGCCTTGTCGCCTGCACCGGTGCTTGATGTCGCGTCTTCTTCAAGCTCTAACGCCGTTATCTTTTATCTTCTTTTTTGTTTATTTCAATTTATAGTTCGTGGATTGCGAACTATGCGTGGCGCGGAGGTCTGGGACATTCCTCGCATTCTGGGACCGGAGGTCGAAAAAAGCGAAGCAAAGATCGCAGTCCTGGCTGGTGCAGATCTCGGCGCTAGCGGCGTTCTACGACTTTTTCATCTTTCTGGCCTCGCCCCCATTGCAGTACATCATGGCCTCCATTCTTGACAAGATTTGCGCTCAGGTGCGACCCTGCTGCTCTTTCAAACAAGATTTAACTTTTATTTATTTATTTTTCAATCTAGATTCAATGGGCATTTATGCATCAAATCAACAATAAATAAATAAATAAAATGCATGTATAATTTTAATTGATAAATCAAATGGCGCTGGACAGAGGAGGAAAGATGTGGTGGAGGCGCAGAGCAAGCTGCCGCTGGCGGAACTGAGGCGGCTGGTGGAAGAGCAGAAGGTCAACGTGCGCGGCGGCCCCGCCTTCCCGCTGGTCAACTTCCCCTCGCGCATCCTCGTCTCGGCCCCCGCGATTGCTGTCCTGGCCGAAGTCAAGCGCGCCTCGCCCAGCAAAGGCGACATCGCTCCCGGTATCATCATCATCATCAACATCAACAACACACACGATTGCATACGCACGCACATGCACACGACACGCGCACGCGCACACGCACACGCACACGCACACGATTTCACTGACGCGTTGCGCTTGGGAAGGCATTGATGCGGCCCAGCAGGGCAAGCTGTACGCTGACGCCGGCGCCGCGGTGATCTCCTGTCTCACGGAGCCCACCTGGTTCAAGGGTACTCGCTCGCGCGCCCGTTCGCTCGAAGCGTTCTCGACGTGTCGCGCGCGTGCGATCTTATTAGCATTGAACTGACCACCAATCCGCGAACAACGCCAACACAACACTTAGGCACGCTCGAAGATATGTGCGGAATTCGGGAGGCGATCGGGGCGATGGGCGAGAGCCGCAGGCCGGCCCTCCTGCGCAAGGACTTTGTGCTCGACGAGTACCAGATCTACGAGGCCCGCTACTACGGCGCCGACACCGTCCTCCTCATCGTCGCAGCTCTGGGTAACACACTCTCTCTGTGCGTGTGCGTGTGCGTGTGCGTGTGCATGTGCGTGTGCGGGTCGTGTGCGTGTGCATGTGCGTGTGCGTGCTGATGATATGTATATAGAGGAGGCCGATCTGGTGCGCTTGATCAAGTGCTCGCGCGAGCTGGGCATGGAGCCGCTGGTGGAGACGGCCAACGCCGAGGAGATGGAGGTGGCCCTGCGCGTCGGCTCCAAGGTGATCGGCATCAACAACCGCAACCTTCACACCTTCTCCGTCGACCTCAACACCACCAACCGCCTGCTCGCCGACGTCGCCCAGTCCGCCGAGGGCGTCATCTTCACCGCCCTCTCCGGCATCACCACCAGGTTCCTATTTGTTTCAATCTATTTATATATTATTTGTTTTTATTTATATTTAATTGGACTATTTGTGGAATGTGCAGGGAGGATGTGGTGCATTTCGAGAAGGCCGGGGTGAGCGGCGTGTTGGTCGGCGAGTCGCTCATGCGCGCAGCGGATCCGGCGGCCAAGATCCGGGAGCTGCAGGGGCACACCGAGACAAAGACGCCGGCGCTGGTGAAGATCTGCGGGCTCAAGGACGTGCCGACGGCCATCGCCACGGCCGAGGCCGGCGCGGACATGATCGGGCTGGTCTTTGCCGAGTCCAGGCGCAAGGTCACCATCAAACAGGCGCGGGAGATCGTCGACGCCCTCGATAAGTGGCGAACAGCCCAGGGCCAGGCTTCGCCCTCTGCCGAGGTAAGGCGTGTGGCGTCTCGGCGTGCGGTGTGTGCGGTGTGTGTGCTTACGATGCGTGTGTGGTCTGCTGAGTGTCAGTTATTTGCCGCTGAAGCGGGCGCTGAGGCTGGCCAGGAGAGTTTCGGCAGCTGGGCGGTCAAGCTGCGCTCGGCCGTGGAGAAGCGACGGCCGCTGATCGTGGGCGTGTTCGCCGACAACGATGTAACCGCCCACCCCACTCTTTTTTTTTCCTGGGGTGCGAAAGCTGACTGTCTGTTCCCCCCGCCGCCGCGCATTTGTGGAATTCCAACCTTGGCCAGGTCGAGATGATGAATGAGGTGGCCACCGCTGCTCGGCTGGACCTGATCCAGCTCTCGGGTAAGGAGAGCCCGGCCGTGGCCCAGCAGCTCGTCAAGCCCTGCCTCAAGGTGACTCCCCACACCCAAGCTTGGCCCACGCGAGCGAGCGAAGGAGCTCACGCGCGCACGACGCGCACGACACGCACAGGCGATCCACGTCAATGGGCAGCCCGAGGAGATCAACAGCACGATTGCGGGCTTTGCTGGCGGCAACGTGGTGGGCATCCTTCTCGATACCTACGACCCTCACGCCCTCGGTGGCACCGGTGCGCTTCGACTCTTGCGCCACTTTTTTTAGAGACTTCGATGATGGCCACTACCTCCACAGACTGACGTGTGTCGTGTGTCGTGTTGTGTGTCGTGCGTCGTGTGTCGTGTGTCGTGTGCCGTGTGTCGTGCGTGTAGGGCGAGCGTTTGATTGGTCGATCGCTAAGGGGGTGCAGGAGAAGACGCCCATCTTCGTGGCCGGCGGGCTCGGCCCCCAGAACGTGGCAGCGGCCGTGGGTGCCAGCGCGCCGCTGGGCGTCGATGTACGCGCTCCTCCTCTGTGTGACAGGCCCTCGTCCCTCTCTCCGTCATCTCGTTCGCGTTCATCGTTCATCACCAACACTCGACTGCTCTCGCTTCTCTCAGGTGTCGAGCGGGGTGGAGACCGACAGCGTCAAGGACGTGGCCAAGATTCGCGCCTTCATCCAGCACGCCAAGACCACCACCGACGAGCAAGGTACTATTATTATTATTATTATTATTATTATTTATAATTGATTACACTAATATAATGATATAATTAATATAATATAATATAATAATCTTACTAATAAATTGATTATCCATTATTGCAGTGGCGGACGGGAGCCAGTTCTACCTGTACGGCTCGCCCATCGGCAACTCGCCGTCGCCGCTGCTCCACAACACGGGCTTCGAGACGCTCGGCATTGCCGACCAGCACCGCTACCGGCTGTGCGACACGAAGGACGTCAAGCAGGTGGTGGTCTCGCTGCGCGACCGCCGGACTGGCGGCGGGTCGGTCACCATGCCCCACAAGCAGACCGTCATGCCCTTCCTCGACCAGATCTCGCCGGGCGCGTGGGCCATCGGCGCCGTCAACACGGTGAGCAAGGACCCCGCCGGCCACCTCCTGGGCGACAACACCGACTGGCTCGCCATCCACCAGCTCACCAAGCAACGACTCGCCGCACTCGGCAAGACTGGTGCGTGTGCGGTCGTGTGTGCGGTCGTGTGTGCGCGTGTGCTTACATGTGTGCGGCTGTGTCATGTGTGTTAACAGGTGCGAAGCCGGTGGGTCTGGTGATCGGTGCGGGCGGGACGGCGCACGCGGCGTGCTACGCGCTTACCCAGCTCGACGCCGAGTTCTACATCTACAACCGCACGCCGGCGCGCGCCCAGCACCTGGCCGACCGCTTCGCCGGCGTGCGGGGCCTGCCGTCCACGCCCGACGAGCTCGCTGCGCTGGCCGGTCGCGTCGACGTCGTCATCAGCACCGTACCGCCCACCGCCGGCTTCACCCTCCCCGACGCCTTCTTCCGCCGGCCCAGCGGCGCCGACGCCGCCAGCGCCGCGGCGGGCCTGGTCGTGGTCGAGCTGGTCTACTGGCCGCGCTTCACGCCTCTGCTCGAGCAGGTGCGACAGTGCGCCAAGAATGACGAGAATGTGGTGCGGGTGGAGGTGGTGGAGGGCATCGAAATCCTGCTAGCGCAGGGTCTGGCCCAGTTCGAGATCTGGACCGGGCGGGAGGCGCCCCGGGCCGCCATCGTCGATAAGATCGTGGCCACCTTCAAGGACGGCCTCTACGCCTCGCCTCTCCCCACCTCCTTTCAGTAAGTGTTTTAAACATGCAAACAAAATTTCAAATGTTCGCTGGTCTCCTCTTGCTCCTGCATGTTGCATGTGCTGTGGGGATAGTCATGGTTCTGTGTGGCTCCACCTTGTTCTTGATGTCTGTTTTTTGAGGTGGCTAATCAGAGCTAATGGCAGCAAGTGCAAGGATCATTGCACCTTCACACCTTTTGCACACCTTTGCACCATTTTGCACCTTCACACCACACTTTACACCTTTCTGCACCTTCACACCTTTCCACCTCCACCACACCTCCACACCTCTGCTCTCTGGTGTACAACAGAGTGTTACCATAATGCTGATGTCACTTGACATATATTGGAACAACCATGGAGGACCGTGTCCTTGGGTTATGATGGAACCACTCTATAGAGTGTATATTACAAAGGCCGGCTCCTGCTATTGGCCCAGGTAGGAGCGGAACACGTCGTCGGGGTCGAGCTGGCCCTCTCCCACGACGTCCATTCCGTCATCGTCAAAGTCTGCCCAGCACGCGGAGTCGTCCACAGTCTCCGAGCTCAGCAGATTGTCGAGCATCAGCGACGTCGGCGAATCGAACGAGATCAGCCCCTCTGCCGCGGCGTGCGAGTAGGGCTGCGTCGCGTGCGCCGTCGACGGCAGAACCTGACTCGGGGCCGGGGCCGCCCGCGCGGCGGACGCCAAGGCCGGAGGGGCCGCGGCTGCGGCCAGGGAATAGCCGGACGCAGCTGCGGGCAGTATGGGCGGCATGCCGACGTAGCCGTGGGCACCCTGTGGCAGGATGGCGATGGGCGCCTGCCCACCAGCAGCGGGCGGTACAAAGAGCGGCATCTATGTGTGCGGTCGTGCAGTGTGTGTGTGTGTGTGTGTGTGTGGTTAGGATCGAGGGATGGCGGCGGGGTTGCTCCGAGCAGGTACCTGGAGGGGCATGGCCGGCTGGACCGGGAGGTAACCGACGGGGGCTGCGCCGGACTGCCCGCTCGGCAGCGGCAAAATTTTGATCGGCTGCTGTCCGCCTGCTCCCATCTGCGTGACCACAAGTTGTGTTCATCAGCGCACACGCGGTGAGTGCGTTGTGCGTGTGCGGTCGTTGTGCGTGTGCGATGGGGATTGCGTGTGTGTGCATGTGCGTGTGCGCTACCTGGTGGAGTTTCATCTGCTGCTGGAGGATGAGCTGTTGCGACTGCTGCGAGAAGGCCACGGCGGCGGACTGGAGTGGCGACGGCTGCGGGTTCATGGGGCGAGGCGCGATGGGCCGGTACGCGGTGGGCTGAGGCGCGGGCTTGACCTGTTGGGGCTGCGGCTGCTGCTGGGGCGATTGTGGCTGGGTCTGGGGCGACTGCGGCTGGGGCGAGCCTTGTCTGCAATCACCGACCCAAGAAGTGAACACCCATGTGTGCGGTGCGTGCGTGCGTGCGTGTGTGAGCGCGTGCGACTGAGCTCGGCGCGCACCCCTTTGTCGACAATTGAGATTGTCTGGTTTTGCTCCGCTGGTTGTTGGGATCGGCCTCGGGATGGAAATGCAGCATCTCCTGAAAGATCAGCACTGTGGGGAGCACCATTTGTTAAGTGCCGTGTGCGTGTGCGTGTGCGTGTGGGTTGTGTGTGGGTTGTGCGTTGGTGAAGAAGACGGTCGTACTCTTGAAGTCGGCGAGCGAGAGATTGAGCTTCTCGAAACTGAAATCGAAGGCGCTGTGACACTCGGGCTGCACACCACAGGCACCACGCGCGCGCGTTAGTGCGCCGGGCCGAGCCGGGCTGGGGTGGCGGTTGGGAGTTGGAAGTACCTCGTCATCGGGGTCGTGGAAGTAGGCCAGGTAGGGGTGGCACAGGGCGTCCTCAACGGTGATCCGCTTGGCCGGGTTGAAGGCCAGCATCTTCTCCAGCAGATCCAGCGCTACACTCAAACATGTGAGTCGTTTGCGTGTCGTGTCGCGTGTGTCGTGTTGTGTGCGGTGCTTACCCTGTGGCGGCGCTCTGGGCATCAGTTTTTGGAGGGGCGTCTTGGGCTTGGCGCCCATGTTGCGCACAAATTGCCTGGCCTGGCGCACGAAAAAACAGAAAATTTATAGCAACAACAGCACCAGTTACGCGGTGCAGCACCCAGGAACAACCGAAGAAGAAGAAGAAGAAGAAGGTGCCAAATGAATGGGTCGGTGTAAGGAGGTACGTGGGACGACGATATGCCGGCGATGTCCTCTTCCGACGGCGTGCCCATGATCTCGCATATACACTCGACCTGCTTGATGTCTTTGGGTAAAAAAAATCTCAGAAAAAAAGACATAATATAATTGAAAAGAAATAAAGAAATAAAGAAATTCAGAAATAAAGAAAAAGAACGTACGGTCTTTGCCCTGAAACAGGGGCCTCCGCATGAGCAGCTCCGCAAAAATGCAACCAATGGACCACATGTCAACTGTGTGTCGATTCAGCCAAGCACGAACATGAGTACGGCGATCGACTATGGGTCGTGTTGCGCGTTGTGTGTGTGTGTTGTGTGTGTCGTGTGTCGTGTTATGTGCTAACGTACTGGCGTTGGTGTACTGCTTCCACGACAGGATGACCTCGGGCGCGCGGTACCAGCGAGTCGCGACATACTGCGTGAACCCGTCGTAGTTGTCCTCCGGGTGGGCAACTCGCGCCAGACCAAAGTCGGCGATCTGTGCCGTAATGGCACGCACGTGAGTACCGACGTGTGCCGTGTGTGTGCCATGTATGTGCCATGTGTGTGCCATGTGTGTGCCATGTGTGTGCCATGTGTGTGCCATGTGTGCCGTGTGTGCCGTGTGTGCCGTTTGCGGTACCTTCAACAGCACGTCCTTGTTGATGAACAGGTTACTGGGTTTCTGCGGTGGTTGTGTGCCCACAGCGAGATATGGGTTATGTCAAACGAAGAATAAGAAGAAGAAGCGGAGCATGCCGAGAGTGTGTACCAGGTCGCGGTGAAGAACGTGCGCCGAGTGGATGTACTTGAGCCCGCGCAGTATTTGAAAGAGAATGAGCTGGATGTGATCGTCGCTCAACTCCTGCGCATATGTGGAAAAGCGTTATATCGATATATGCGGTGATATATTCGCAAGTATTGAAGCGGGGCCTGACCTGCGGCGATCGAATGATGTGGTGCAGGTCGGTGTCCATCAGCTCGGTCACCACGTACCTGCGAATTAATGATTACCTCATTACTAATGTGTGCGGTGCGTGCGGTGGTGCGTGTGCCGTGTGCGTACGTACACTTCGTCAAAGTTTTCCTTGGCGGGAAGCTCGAATATGTCCTTGAGGGCCAGAAGCTGAAACACACACACACACACACAAACATACACACATACACCCACACCCACACCACACACCCATACCACCACACACACCCACACCACCACCACACACACAACCAAGCGAGAGAAGATTAGTTTGTCAGCTACAACTCGGGAAATGTGGCTGCAATCGCACGTTTTCGTTGTCGAAGTGGCGCATGAGCCGGATCTCGCGCAGGGTGCGCTTCCATTGCAGGTCCCCGGTCTTGGCGTTGTTGAGGATGATCTTCTTGATGGCCACCGTTTGGTCTGCCTCGTCCGTCGCCTGATTGTCTTTCGCCGCACTGCAGTCGTTGAATTAATTGTAAATAAACGCGAATAAATGTAATAAACAATTTTTAATATAATTAAAAAATAAGTGTAAGTTTTGATACGAACCAAACGATGCCGTAGGAGCCCTGGCCGAGCCACTTGATAGGAGTGTAGCGTTTGGGTACATCAAAGACGTGCCCTCGGATACTATACCGCCAGACGCCCGGCCGCACCTCCGTCCCCCGTACAATGTCCTTCCCTATGAACTGGCCACTGCCGCCCTCCTTCTCCATCTTTCACTTTCTTTGTGGCCAAAGAAATAAAGGAATACTGGTTTTCTTTAGGTAATAATTTAGTTTCCTTGTTGTATTTCTTTTTGTTTTCTTCGCGATCAGGCGTGTTGCTGGGAGAGGCGGATGTAGCGGTCGAGCTTCTCGGCCACCTTGCCCGACTTGATGGTGGTCTGCGCGAGGGCCACGCCCGCGGCCAGCGTCTCGGCCAGCCCGCCGATGAACAGCGCCGCGCCGGCGTTCAGCGCGACGTAGTCCACCACCGGGTGGTGCTCCTTGCCTGCCACGGAACACAACACAGCACGCGCGACACGACACACGTGTAAGAAAGGGTGTGGTGGTGAGCAGGAGACAGCAGAGGGCGCGTACCAGCGACGATCTTCCTGAAGAGGGCGGCGTTCTCGGAGGGCGCCGAGCCGCGGATGTCGTCGATGGCGAGCGGGCGCAGGCCAAAGTCCTCCGGCTTGATGACGGTCCGTGTGATGGCGTCGTCCTTCACCACCCACGCCTGGGTAGGTCCGCACGGGCTGATCTCGTCCAGGCCCTCGTCCGAGTGGACCACCATCGCTTGCTTGCCCTGCGACGATTGCAGAGAGTCGACCCGTGAGCGTGTGCGGCGTGTGCGGTGATGCATGTGTGGTGTGTGCGTACCATCTTGAGGAGCACTTGCGCGTAGAGGTCGCCCAGCTCGATGGAGCCCACGCCGACCAGCATGTGCGTGGGCGAGGCCGGGTTGGTCAGCGGACCCAGGATGTTGAAGATGGTCCGGATGCCGAGCTCGCGGCGGATGGCGCTGACGGACTTCATCGCCGGGTGGAAGACCTGCGCGAAGAGGAATCCCATGTCGCACTCCTCGATGACCTATGACACGACACACGACACACACAGTCAGCGCAATCGGTTGCCAAGACGTCTCGACTTGTCGGCGAGGTGGGGCCGTACGGTGGCGAGCTGGGGCGAGTTGAGGGTGATGCAGGCGCCCAGCGCCTCCATGAAGTCGGCAGCTCCACAACGGCCCGACGACGACCGGTTGCCGTGCTTCGTCACCCGCCGCCCGCAGCAGCCACAACACTGCAAAAATTGATTGATAATAAAATATAAATAAATTATTTCATAAATTGAAATAAAAATATTTAATTGAAAAAAGACTAAATATCTAAAGATCAATGTAGTTTACGTACAAGGCCGCGGCAGTGGAGGCGTTGAAGGTGTCGACGCTGTCGCCGCCGGTGCCCACAACGTCGATGACGGGTCCGCCAACGGCGCAGGGAATGGCGAAGGAGGACATGGCCTTGGCCGAGGCCAGCAGCACGTCCGGCGAAATCCGGTCACCTGATGATGGGGAAAAGGGCGAGGTCAGCTGAAGGCTCATTGCTGGCGCGCAAACTGAGGGTAGGGTAGGTACCGCGCAGGGCGAACAGGAAGGCGCCCACCTGCGACGAGGGCGCAGTTCCGCTCATGATCTCCTGGATGCAGGCGATGATCTGGTCGGACGTGAGCACCTGCTGGTCGGCCATCAAACGAAGCGCTTGCCTGGGAGGGAAAAGGTGTCGGCCCAAACTCTTCGCTGCATACGACACGACCAACGACACGACACGACCAACGACACGACACGGTACCTGATGGAGGTGTCCTGGGCGCTGAGTTGGGCCTGAGCCGCGCTGGTGGCCTTGTCGCCCTCAAACGCGAACGACGGACCCTGCATGGCAACCAAGTCGTGAGCAAATGAATGAAGGAATTAATAAATAAATATCAAAACAAAACAAAACAAAACAAAAATAATGAGACGATGATTACCTGGAGTTCCTCTTCGCTCCAGGTGCCGGTGGTCCAGGAGACGAAGTTCTTGAGCATGGTCATGCCGTCGTCGGTCTTGATCGACTCCGGGTGGAACTGCACGCCCTCCATCCGCACCTTGGTGTGGCGAATGCCCATAATCACTCCGCCTGAAACGCACGTCCGATCAGCGCTCCTCGCTCCACACCATCGCACACGACACACGGCACGCAGTGTAATGATGGTCGTACCGGCAGTCTTGGAGGTCACAACGAAGTCCGGCGGCAGGGCGGTGTGCCTCGCCGCCAGCGAATGATACCGGATGACCGGCACGTTGTTGGGAATGTCTGTCGCCCGTCATAGCCACCGGTCAGCGCCATGTGACGCCATGAGAGTGTCAGGCGAGCGTTTGCATATATAAATACAAATTATAATAATTGTTATATAAATCTAAACGGGGGTGCGTACCGACGTAGAGGCCCTTGCCGTCGTGAATGATGTTGGAGGTCTTGCCGTGCACGATCTCGCCACAGTGCTCGATCACGCCGCCGTACTCCTCCACCATACACTCGTGGCCCAGACACACGCCCAGGATCGGAATCTTGCCCGCCAGCGCTCGGATCAGCTTGCCTGCGAACACACGACACACACATGACACACAACACGACACACAACACGACATACGCGACAGTTAAGATGATGGTGCGCGCAAGGTTGCGTCGAGGCTGCGTACTGGACACGCCGGCATCCTTGGGCCAGCCGGGGCCGGGCGAGATGACGAGTCGGTCGGGCGCCAGCGCCAGGCACTCCTCGAGCGTGATCTTGTCGTTCCGGTGAACGATCACCTCCTGGCCCAGCTGGGAGAGGTACTGGTAGAGATTCCAGGTGAAGCTGTCGTAGTTGTCGATCATGAGCGTGCGCCGGCCACGCTTGCTCTCGTCCGGGGTGCACACCACGCCCTGGGGCACGACGTTCAGCTGCTGCGCCAGGATCACTCCCGTCACTGCCCACAACCCACAGCTGAGGTTAGGCATACAACACCTGTGTGCGTGTGCGTGTGCGTGTGCGTATGCGTGTGCACTGCGTGTGCAATGAAGTAAGGGAAGAGCTGCGTACCGCCTTGTCGGTTCTCGGCGTCGGTCCACATGGTGTTGAAGGACGACGCTGCCGGCGCGTGAGCGCGCGCATTCTCCGCGTTCTCGAAGGCTTGGGTGGCAGTGACGCTGTTCTCCTCGGCCAGATCGATCGCTGTTGTGTGTGTGTGTGTGTGTGTGTCAAAGGGCAGCACCACCCGTGTGCGCTGAAACCGTCAGCACGGGAATAGTGATGAAACACGCTGTTAAGGAAAAACAAACCTCTGGCCAACGCGGCCATCTTGTGCACGGTCTCCCAGTACTCGAAATCGGGCTCCGAGTCATAGACGATGCCTCCGCCGGCTGTGTGAGGGGAAGGAACACAACAGAACCGCGGATCAGCTAGGCCTCCCGAAAGAAAGAAGTGTGCGCGAGGCGGTGCGCGCGGCGGGGCAACCTTGGAGATAGGCGGTGTTGTCCTTGATGGTCATCGTCCGAATGGCGATACAGGTGTTGATGTCGCCCGTGAAGGCGAAGTAGCCCACAGCGCCCGCGTACACGTTTCGCCGTTCCTGGTTAAAACCACGCACACAACACGACACACACGCACACGACAGACGCGATGACACGTCAGCACCAAATTACCGATGATTGTCGAAATAAGCCGTACCTTCTCGAGGGTGGCGATCCACTCCATGGCCTTGACCTTGGGCGCGCCGGAGACGGTGCCGGCGGGAAGATCGAGCGGAAGGCGTCGAAGGGCGAACACTCGTC